TTCATGCGGTTCGCACGGGCCCACCTCTCAAACATTTTGTGCCTTCTCCTTCAGGCTGTGAGGAGCAACAGCACTTCCCAGGGATCAATCCTGACCACAGCGGCTATCACAGTGGAAACCGAGGTGGCTTACCTCTTCACAACGTCCTCAGAAGGCGCAGATCAGTACTAGTTTACAAAGCCTTCGCTAGATAGTAGAAGGCTTCCACTGACTTCAACAAGCTTTGGATCAGACCTTAAAAATATTTGTTCAACAGGATTTCTCTGTCACTAATAGAGTCTTCTAAATGCATTTTTCCTTCTGTTTACAATGAAAACTAAGAGCCTTTAGAAATAGGGATTATGGCATCCCAGCATTAATGTCAACCCCAGAACAGCTAGAGCTGGAGAAAGAATAAAAATGCTATGGGTGGAAATGACTTATCTCCAGCTACAAGCAAACAAGAAAGCTAAAAGCAGCAGGGAGAAGTCAATTTGCTTTGTGAAACTCTCAGCTTGAAAAACACACCTATACTAGCACCACGGGACAGGAATCTTTATTTAAATAGTTTATTTTACATTCTCTGCAGGTTCTCTTTATACTTCACTCATTCCTCCTAGAATGAGGAAGAGTTCACTCACTCCTCCTAGAGCAGGGACTAGCTCCAAGCCCAAGCTTTGAGAGTAAGGCCCTCCTCTCCCTCAACTCTTTACCTCTGGGCTTTGCCTAAACTCCCTCAGTGCCTAGAAGACCCCATTGTCCTCCAAGCTGCAAGGATGTTAAGTTTATTCAGATGCAAATCCACCCTTAGCACTTCAACTTTCCTAGAGCTCAGCAAGGTTATGAAACTTGGAAGTCAATTCAACCAGGCAGCGAAGATACAGTAAGAGGTCAAGACGCATCTCCAGCCTGGCATGGGCGCTGAAGGAAGCACACATCATCCCCTCCAGCAAGGCAAGCTTTCCTGATGCCAGCACCTCACTCCATTTCAAACACCATGGTCGAGAGACAGCACCGTGCTTCAAACAGCAAACGTCACTTACCAACATACTCAGAGAGGAACACAACAAAGAACGGAGTGACCAGGTCATTGATTCCCTGTACATAGCCGCTGGCTGGGTGTCGAATGGCCCAGATAAACAGGATTCTTTCAAAGATCTAGAGAAGAATGAGGGAAAGCAGGTACCTGCATTAGCCGTGCACAAAGGAGAGGCAGAAAAGCATAACTGCTAAGCTCAGGGAGCAGAGATCATGCACTGACAGGCTTTTCTGCAGCAATATGGGTAAGATAAGAAGCATACAAGTCCTAGGAGAGACTCCTGTATGATCCACAGATCCCACACAAGGCCAGCCCACATTTCCCAGAACAAGGCAGCCCAGCCTCCTCATCAAAGCCTCCCCTTGAAGAAATGCAGACACCAGCTTTGCAAGATTAGGTGGCTTAAGACCCTCCCACCCATAAGGCAGGGCTGCCTACTAGCAGAGCATCACACCTTGCTGAACATCACGTGGATCTGTTATACCATCGAGTATCAGCCATCAGCACAATACTCCCAGCAAAACATCACCAAGCAGGAGAGTTCCCAACAGAGCAGCCACCCCGCAACCATCAATGTGTTATTTCCAGACTGCCCCAGCCCCAGACACCACGATCTGAGACACCACATACACATGCTGAGCTTGTTTCTAAAGAGGACAGGTGCTCACCGAGGTTTCATAGCAAACCAGAACTGATCTGTTCTGGTTCAGATGCCTTGAATTTGTTTCAAAACAAAAGCTTCAGGTCTTTTACCAACTGGCTACATCTCGCCACAAAAGAGCTGATCTCATAATCCCTGAGCTCTAAGTCCGAGGTCTTTCAGAAACATGGGACAAGACCAGTTTCAGCAAGTACTGGCATCACCAGCTGTCAGCCAGAGAAGTTTCCCTGCAAAGCTAACTCACTAGTGGCAGCGCTGGTTTAACTCCACACACATGCCCCAAAGCATCCTTCCCCCTTACCTCCTGGACAAGTGGCTGCTGGAAAAGGGGGATGAGCGGGTTGGTCCTTGGAATGTCAATGTGGATCTGGAAGAGAGCGTGGGTTACATCCACCAGCTGTGCTTTTCAGGGGCACAATAACTCATCACGGGCTGACAGAGGGGAATCCACCCTTCAGTGTCCCCCCAAGTGAGAGCTGCACTTTCCAAAAAGCAGAGTGAGGGCTACAGATGGCAGCTGCACTGAGAAAATCATCTAGAGTTTTATCTCCAGTCTCCTCTGCTCAGGTGTGGGCAGAGCTGGGAAAGAGTTGGGGTCTGAAATCTAGTTATTAGATCAATTTAGGGAAGGCTTAAACTAATATCCTTAAGAAGATGGACAGAAACATGGTGCTCTGTCCCCAAGGAGAAGACTCCTAATAGCTACAGCTAGAGGAAGTCATAGCATGACCCCAACTGCATGGACAAGCAGCAGCAAGAGGGAGGAAAGGGACAACCCGGGCAGAAAGCCAGGCAACAGGCAGAGGACTCGTACCTGTCGGTAGGTGTCTTGATGGTGCTCCTCGTTCCGGGAATCGTAATACTGCTGGATGAAGCCGAAGTATTCCTCCCGCTTGCGCTGCAAAGTCAACTTTCGCCGCTCCATGTTTGCAGGGAGATAACCCTATGGCAGAAAAACCCCTGTCAGGGCATGGGTCTTCCCTCATCACAAACCATCCCCTGAAATCCTGCCAGGCAGCTTGCGCATGTGGAAGCATCAGATACAGAGACTCTGGAGCTGGGAAAAGAGCTTTAATGGGTTTTGGCTTTCCCAGCCACTGATGCCTTTTCTCATTTCAGGGCAACCTGACTTTGCAGGATTCAGTTTCCCAAAAAAGCGTGAACCACATAGTGCCAGCACCAGTCTGGGCTTTGTGCTCAAAGAGAATGTAGCAATTACACTCCCCGACAAAAAAAAAAAATCCCACAGCTCACCCATAGGCTAGGCACAGATACAACATGAGCAAACCTGGTTATGGGACACACGAAGGTCTAGGAGCGTGCATCCCTGGCTTGGCACATTCCCCCCAAACTCCTGCGTCACAGCTCCAAGTACTCACTGAGAGGAGACGCCACGTCACGGGCCGGACCTCTCTGGGCACACCAGGCCAGCTGCATTTCCTCAGCTCATCTGCAAACGGACAGTGGTGGCAAGGATTAGATCCTAGGCACGTCCAGGCACCACTACACCTAGAAGGAGAGGAAACCCCTGTCTGCTCCTGCAGGCTCTGGAGACACTGAACCTCCAGAAAGGCTCCACATCAGCAACGACTGGGGATGTGGGTCTGCAGTAAAGGTAGTGGAGATGCTTTCAGCTAAGCCTGGGCACAGGACTGGTGGCTGCAGGGGTTCCAACACACCGGAGTCTCAGTTCTCATGCAGAGCCCAACAGCCCCCAGTGATCACAACCATCATTCACGAGATGGAGAAAGATGGGGAACAGATAGATAGCTGGTGGAGGACATCACCATCTCCCAGCAGAGCAGTTCGTGCAACTATCCCACTTAGTGCAACTGCAGCTAGTCATTTTTTCCACCCTGCAGCTGCCCCAATTGCAACATGAAGCAGGCAGCAGGGCCCCTCTGCCTTCCCCTTCCCACCCGCAGGCACCCCCATTTTGCCACACTCACCCAGGTCCGTGTTGTGGCTGGAAAGGAGCTGCCGAAACTTCTCCAGGCGAGTTTTCTCCCTCACTGTCATGGGGGGAGCACCTGAAGCATTTTGGTCAGAGATCCGGGCGACAAGTGGAATGACGGGCCGAAGGGGAAGGGACTGCTGCTTCTGAAGGGGGTTCCGCACACAGGCCTCCTCTGCAAGGAGCAGACACTGCAGTGAGGTGGGGAAGGGGACGGCACCTCTCCAACCCTACCCCGCTCCTCTGGCCACTGTCAGAGACCTGCCGCTGCAGACTTCACCCCTCTCTTCCCCTGCCCCAGCAAACAGAGCACAGCTGGCCCACTCTGAGGGATCAGCTGAGTCACAGGCATCTGTGGTGGCTCTCCCATCACCTCCTCCCTCCTCCCTCCCTTTCTTCCTCCTCATCCAGACACCTAGCTGCCAGTGGATAAGAGTTCCCTCTTCCCATGGGAAGAAGGATACAGGGGATGAGGTAGGAGGAGCCTGTGAGAATCCCAGAGGAACTGACCTTCAGATCTGCCCTGCTCGTCTCTGATCTAAATAGTGATTAAGCTAATTGCTAGTGCAGAGACAGGAGGCAATGGGCTGCCAATGCCACCTGCTGGCAGCAGGGACCTGCTGTGTGACTTTCACAGCACAGGCAGCCGTCTGCCTGCGACAAGGCAGAGTGAGCAAGGGCTGATGCTGTCCAGATCCCTGCCCAAGCAGCACCGACTTGGGCTCCACAGGGCCTCATCCAGACCTTTCCTAAGAGCAGTACACTGGGCCACAAAAGAAGCAGAAGGTGAGCAATCCTGAGCAAGAACTTAACATATCTCCAAAATCCCTTAGCACCCAGAACATGGGATCCTCTGGGACAAACATGCCTGTATGCAGGATATTGAGCAGCAGAGGAGGCTGAAGCAGTTAAGGTCAGGATTCCAAAACCGGCTCCTTGGAATCAGGATACTACAAGGAGGCAAAAGCCTCCATTGAGCTTACAAGGCCACGCCACAGCCTCTCACCCATAACGTGTGAGTAGCAGCAAGCAGCTGAGTTCAGTGGTCAACCAGGAGAGCTCTGCAGCAGGAGGCTGCTTCCAAAGCTCTTACCAGATGTCCTGGAGAGCTGGGCCTCGCTGCTGGACTTGATGACTTTGCAGTTGGTGGGCATGTCGCTGAGGGCAGACTGAGCCCGCTCAGGTTTCGCCCGCAGCTTGCTGTGGTTCTCCAGAACCTGAGCTGCTGCGGCCTTGGCCACTTTAGAGTTCAGAGTTTGCAAAGAGGAAGAAGATGAAGAGAAGTCCTCATCTTCATCATCACCGATGTCCCAGGCATCACTGGTGTTGCGGGCAAACTCGTGAAAGCTGGAGGCCTTCTTGCTTTTCATAGGCAGCGCATTGGCCTTGGAGCGGTCCTTGATGAAGCTGGGAGCCAGAAAGAAACAGTATCAGAGCCATGCTGTTAGACAAGTCCATTTTCTTTCCTTCCCTAAGTCCTCGCTCCAACCAGCCAGTCCCTTTTTCCAATTTCCTTGTTCATGCCCCTAAACCCCAGGAACATGTTAAGTCTCCCTGGGCTGCCCGCTGCCGGGAGGCAGAGCCTGAGCTGGTACGACGGCAGGGCACGGAGGCCACAGTGCCAGCAGACAGCTGGAGAGGAGCCAGGCTTCCTGGCTCAGAAGGGCAAAGTGGAGAGACGCATTAGTTCCTCCAGCTCCGCCTCCCCCCACTCTATAGAAAACTGGTAGATTAACACCCGAAAAAGGTTTTGTGACCTGGGGAGAGGCATGTCAGAGGTTAGATGGAACCAGTCTGTGCTTGTGGACGCTCCCAATACAGCTGCAATCGCTGCCAGCAAACAGACCAGCCTGGTTCTTTTCTCAGGCACAGGAGGAACCTTCGCATTTACCCTTAAGCTACAGGAGTCAAAGTCCACTACCTGAAGCGTCACAGAAAAGGGGGAACCTTCACCGCTACACAGAGATCACGACAAGGAGACAGTTCAGATCAGCTCCGCCTTTTCCTGCTGGGAAGGGTGCTGCGATTCTGCAGCCTTGCAGCTGCCAGGCTGCTTTACCTCCCCTTCCCTTAATTCTTCTGTCTCCTAAGGAGAACAGAGGGCTCAGACACCACTGCTAAAAAATACGCCCGTCTCCTTTGATGTGGCTGGTACGATATGGATTTCAGGCCATAAAGGGCACCAGCAGATAAGCTTGCCCTGCAAGCTTTCGCAGAGCTCAAGATAGCACCGCACCCCACTGCTGTCCTTCTCCACTGCAATACTGCAGTGCCAGGGGATGCTGGAGACCTCCACCTACTGCAGGACTGAGCCAAAACCCCGCAAAGCCTTGTGGCCTGCATTTCCAGGAGATAAACACGTACTTTTTAGTGAGCCGGGGATCCAGCGGAGGATGCTGTGCTCCATACACAGGTTGAATGCTGCAGGAGGGGGAAAGAAAAAAAAGATGACAGTGCAAAAAGCCACAGAACACACACGAATAATCTCCTCAGCCTAAACTGGGGTCACACTTCTTGCCTGCTTTCAGGAGCTGAATACGGACCAAAAGCAACTTCAATAACCTTCTGTCTTCAAAGCTTTAGATCCAAAGTGCCACATTCAACTGAAGATTTGTTCTTTGCAGCAGCGAAGAGAAGCCCTGTTTAAACTCTTAGGCTCTCTCCAGCCTGAGATGGGATTTGAGATCTGCGCTTTTCTGCACCACTCTGAGTGACCACTCAGTCCCCTGCTTTATACACTGACGTTCATTCTCGTTTTCATCAAGGGGTTTTCCCAGTTTGGGAATTCACCCTTCCAAGCCCTGAGGGACAGGCAAAGACTCTAGCCAGCGACACTGGGGTTCCTCCACAACACACTTGAGGGTTTGAACACCACACTGGCTCTCAGGCTCGTAGCCAATGCTACAGTGAATCCACATCTGGTACAGTACACGGTTTGACTTGCATCCAAGTCCCAGCTTAATTGACTACTTCCTATGTGGCCTGAAGGAAGTCACCACATCTCAGTCCCTTGGCTCCCCTCCCCATGGAATGGGACTAGTGGGACAGGGAGCCCGATGGCTGCAGGCACTACATGAGGAGCATCACCTCAGAGAAGAGCTCCTAGACAAGTTCTCATCACTAGTTTCACAGGCTCTGGATGCAAGACAGGGATCCTGAGTTATTACCTCCATTTGGGTAACTATTCACAGCCACCCCACCCTGAAAAAACATCTCTGGAAAACAAGTCCTCCCCATCCCCTGGTACACAGCACGGTCCCGCATCCCACAGCAGGGACAAGGGCCCATTCAGAGCTGGCACACAAGGGACAGGCTCCTCTTGGGTGAACAGAGCTGGCCTGGTTTCCAGGAGCTACAGATGGTGTCCGGCAGTAAAATGAGCAGAGCCCAGCCGTGTAGGAGGGGACAGCAGCCTGGTGCAGCTGGAAAGCGCACTGGGAACCAGCTGATGCTGGGGAGAGACGCAGAGATCCAGAGCAGAGGCTGGAAACAACCACAGCACAGAGATCCTGGTGGTGAAGCCCGGCGAGGGGTGGGCTTGCTGCTGGAGCAGCCGTCCCTCGTGGCTGGAAGTGCTGAAAAGGCTCACTGTGTTTACCCACCAGCGATCAAGCCTAGGAAAGAGTTTGCTGACTAATTAGCATCTAGGAGTCAGGACAGCTATTAAGCAGAGGCACTCTCGTGGGTGGGCATAGCAAGCAGATTATCAGGAGTGAGAAAAACCATCCCTCCAGATCAGCGCTGCTTCCCAATGACTCACGACGACTCCTTGCAGAAGAGGAGCCAGCAAAGCCTCTCCAACACCCAGCACCAAGCTCGCACCGTCTCATGACAGCAGTCACAATCCTGCTCCTCCCTGCACAGGGATCCACATGCGGGTGACCGCTTCGATTCACTTGAGAAGGCCTGAACTTCGCAAGCCAAACGAATGACGTGTGTTAGAGATAGAAGAGGGGATGTGGCAGCCAGGTCTGGGTGAGGAAACCCTTTCCTGGAGCTCTGAAGCAACCAGCCAATGCCTTCACTGGCTAACGGCCGACACAACAGCAGAGTCTCCCACTTCCCAAGCAGCTCTTTTTAAAGAGTTTGAATTCAGGCTCCCCCCAAACTGATCTAACTGCACAGCCCATCAGCCTGCGCTCCCACACAAGCAGCTGAAGATGACAGTCTCATTTCCAGCAGGTTACGGAGGCAGGGCTGAATACCACCCTCCTGCATTGATGAGCTCAAACCGCTGCATGAAATGGGTTCTCCCCATGTTTGCCCCACCTTTGCTGATTCTCTGCCCTATCCACCCATGCAGAGGGTGTTACAGGCTGGACAGGAGAAGTGCAAATGCTCCAAGGTGTGCAACAGGTGACTTCTAAGATACACGAGCACACGCACAACTGCCAGACAGCAAGTCTGTGTCGTAGTGTCTGTGGTAGCCTTGACATCTGATCCCACTCCTTCAGCTCACATCCCTGTAGCTGACTCCCAGCAGATCCTACAACTCCACACAAAGGTGCATTAGCTCATCCTACTGAGAAAATAGAGGCAGGGGAGCAATAATGCCAAGCGATGCTCAGTAACTTTATTTACTCACTCTTGTCTGGTTTTCCCTGATGCAGCTCAGCTAGATGCATCTGCTGTCTCCAAGCTTAACTCTCCATTCAAAGCTGCCTTCACCTGACTTTTGCATGGACAGAAAGCTCGGGGCAGGCACTACATCTCAACAAACACACTGCTGGGTCAAGAGCTGAGACCTAAGCTGATGCTATGCTCCCAAACCTATCCTGTTTAGGTTTAAGCTCTTTGGGACAGGCATTTCTTGTTACCCATATGTTCAGTGTCTGATATAACGGCTGTGGTATCTGCATTACACTACTCACAAGATCATCGCAGGGTGCGGGTTATTGACGTTGCAGCAGAAAGCACATCCACGAAACCCCAGTGCCACTTTGGACACAGAACATATTTATTTCTAGTAGACTCTGTTTCTTCCCTTTTAAAGAACATTTAAACACTCTCCCCCAGAGCCTGGCTGCTCATCTCTCTAAAGCACAGGAAATAAAAAACCCATCGCACAGGATAACACACTAGACCTACCTGCCAACGCATCCCCAGAAAATTACTGGGGCGAGAATTCCCAATGCAAAAGTCACAGAGCAGTACTGGAAAGATGAAACAACATTTACTAGTTCTGCCACCCTAAATCTACAGGGAGAAAAGACACCAGCTGAAAGCTAATACAACTAAGTGAGCAAACACACAAAGTATCATGGAAAAGGAAGCTAACACAGTCTCCAAATCTTTAAAAAGCCTCCCTCTGCCAGCTTGTCAGGGCAAAAAAAGGAGAGAGCCAAGAATCCGTACGGGAAGATCTCTCAAAGCTCAGACAAAAGAGAAGAAAGGGACCTTCACATCCAGTGACCACAGATGCAGCACATCCCACCTCCACTTTTCGTGGTTGCATCGCCCGAGACTCATCGATAACCACCGCTGGAAAGGATAGGCATGCAGGGGATTTAGAGGTGGTAACAAGCCTCCTGGACGGCAGGATATTTGCCAAGCAGGCAGTTAGGAACAGAGGAGAACTTTGCCAAAAACTTGATGCTGGAGCGTATCGTCTAAGCAGGACCAGCTGCCTCCCAGACCGGTTCACCTGGTTTGAGCTTTCCAAGCCAAAGCTCAAAGTCACCCACTGCAGAAGAGAGATGCTGTGTAAGACCACTGGCTAGAAACATGGCTGTGACCTCCAGGTAAGGGATGGGAGCAATCGGGAGACAAAATGACCCCTGGAGAGCACAGCATTTTCTTTCCCCATGATCGAAACAGGAGGAATGCCTAGTGCTCTTTGTTTTTCCTTTGCTTGCTGCAGATCTGGATTGTCCCACCAACCTGAGAGAGCCGGTGCAGCAACAAAGACCAAGTGAAAGCACATTAGAAAGAGAGATTTAACTGGCCTAGCAGGATTTAAAGCCAACTAAGCATTTCAGACTGCGTCTGCACACCAGGAGGGGAAGGGCAGGGTTCAGATAAGGCAAACGAGAGCAAACGTGAGGAGCACCAAGCTGAAAAAGCACTTGTGAAAGCCTCCCCAGAGAGGTGGGTGCCCTCTCCCCATGGGAGCTTTGCTCCCAAAACCTCGTAGGGAGCATCTCCTTCATCACCATCAGCCCCTTCTTCAAAACCCCACTTGAATCAGACGTTTCACTTGTTTCTTCCATCCCCAGGTGAGTGCAGGTGCCTCGACAGGAACCGGGACAGCACGGCCAGAAGCAGCTAAGCAGGTGGGGTGCACACAGAGAGTCCCAGCCCCTCATACCAAGCAGAGGGGGGCCAGCACTGACAGCCTGCATGGGGGTGGATAATAGGGGGACACACGCGTTGGCAGGGGCACCCGTTCAGGACAGAGTTGCTGCCACCCAAGGTGACAGCTCTAAGGACTCTGGGCAGGGACAAGGTTTCTGTGACGCCTGTGGAAAGGAGCACGGTGCAGCCCTGGCTCTGGGGCCACCCCAGGGAGCCTTCAAGGCCCTGACCCCTCCACCCTGCTTCCCACGGGGAGAGGGTGCACACGGGGGTCCCTGCAGCCCCCACACAGCCTGCCCTGCCCTACAGATGAGGGGACAATCCTGGCACTATCCCTGTCCCTTGTACAGGGGGGCTCCCTCCAGCAAAACTCCCCTGCCCCATAGCCG